GGGCCGCGTCCCCCGCGGTCGCTGCCTCCGGGCCCCGCAAAGCGCAGCGCGAGCGGGGACCCCCCGCTGTCCCCTCCTCGGAAGTACCCCCGTGCGGCCAGCAAGGAAGCAACACGCGGGTTAGCCCTGATATTTTAATGGAAATACCGCACTACAGTCAAGTTTACAACATTGGTATAAGAAATCACATGGATAGTGGGCCGAAGATCACATTACATAATACAAAAAGCAAGTTCAAATAAAAAGAAACAAAAAAAAAAAAAAAAAAAGGGAACCCCATTGCTATCATACAGGCTGGGAGTAGAGCTTGGAGCTCGGTGAGGGACGTGGGGATGGAAGGACGAGACACCCGCAAAACCACCGGCAGACAACACCCTGCGTCACCCATACTTCGCTTGTGTCACCCTGTGCGCACCGGGGTGCGCGGGGCCTCGGTGGCGGCGCAGGATGCTTAAGACCCCTTTCCAGCAAAGGAGATGGGCGACTTATTGCTGGCAAAGTGCGCATTCCCTGCCGGGCTCTTCCCTCGCTCCGGAGAATCCCGCTCGTCTCCAGGGCTGGATGTGCCCCCTGCACGGGGCTGCCGTCCCCGCGGGCTTGTGCAGGGAAAACCGCCTCCTTTGAGGAGGAGAGACAGTGCAGTGGTGGCTGTCGTGGCTTACGAAGTCCGTGCCGACTTCTTGTTTATTTAAAATCAAGGTTTCTTCCCTGTGTTTAAATATCTGCCAGCACTAAACTTCTATACTTTAAAAAAATATATATCCCATATGTGGATTTCACTAGTGAAATGCACCAAAACCCACCCGCCCCCTCGCCCATCTCTTGCACGCACGCACGCACCCCCCACAAACACACACACAGAGCAGCTCTAGCAAATACTGGTTTGGTACTTAAGATGTTTTCTCCAATACTGAGAGGGAAAAATACATAAGCACAATCAACCCCAGCTAAGTAGCTCGGCAACACTTCCCAAAAGCGAAGGTCCTTGGAGCTGGAAGACTAGGTGGATAGAAATTACCCACCAGGAAACACAAATTAAAAAAAATAAAAAATATATAATATATATCTATATATCTTAACAGACTGCTTATAACTCGGTTGTGTCAACCACAAAGCACACACACTGCCTCTGCTTTTTCCTCTCAGATTGTGAAGGCGATGACAAAAGGGTGTCCCCGCTTCCCACCCTCTCCCCAAATCTGCATGCTGCACAGTGCCCCTCAGAGCAGGACCAGGGCTGCGGGTGAGCAAGCGTCTTCCTCCAGTAAGAACAAAGACATCGTTTTTATTTACAAAAAAAGGAGAGAAAAGTTTCCACACAAAAGCACTACAATGATAACTCCCTTTGGTAAAAAGTGTAATAAATGTCTTCGTAGGTCTGTCTGTAGGTACTAATTCTCAAGCCACCTGGTACTATGGTACACAAGAAGCTAGTACAGTTATGCTAGCACATCAAGCATACTTCCTTTAATAAAAAACAAAACAAACAAACAAAAAAAAACAAAAAAATTGACAATTTGTACAATTTATTTACAAAAAAATGAGGGGAACATGTTAAAATTGTGGTGTTGTTTCTGGTGTGTGTGTGTGCATGGACATGTGTGTGAAAAGCTGGTGCATGGCACTAGGAGAGACTAGTAAACAAGCAGGTACAAAAACAGTTCCACTGGCACTAGAAAGGACAGACCAATCTGCACTGGTTGAGTCCAGCGTGGGAGGGAGAGAGGGGAGCGAGGAACGGCGGCAGCTCTGTGGGGTGGCCCCGTGCGGTGGCAGAGGGGACGCCGGTTGTGCCGGGCTCCTCCGCAGTTGGTGACAGGCGCCCGAGCAAGCGGGCTGGCCGCGAGCCCCCGGGCCCGCTCCCTCGCTGAGCCTCAGCGCTGCTGGTGTGTGCGAGCTAGCCGTGTCCCTCGGGGATCGCTCGCTTCGGAGAAGGGTCCTTCGCCCCGCGGCGCGCGCCGAAGGCGACAGGGCGCCGGGCGACAGCCTGGGCGCGCGGCGATCCACGTTCCTACGGAGAATCCCGCTGGGGACAGGTTGTACCAGTCACCCACTAGTCAAGTGGCCATGTTACGGAGATACACAGTGAGGGGAGAAAGGCATCTTCCTCGTTTCCTTGATGCACACACACATACACACACACACACACACACATATATCCCGGGCTCTTCCCTTGCCCGGGGCGTTTACGGTGTCTTGAATATTGTGCCGTATTTGACGCGGTATTTGTTAATGCTCACAAAGTGCAGGGTCTCTGTGTCACAGGTGGTGGTGCAGGGCACCAAGCCCTCCAAGCCTTCGCCCAGGAGCCACTTGCTCGTCTCGGCGGCCATCTCGCGGGGCACGTGCTCCTTGGTCCACTTGTCCACCCAGGCCTGGAACCGCTGGTGCAGCCGCTTGCTCACTCTTTCGTGTGACTACGGAAACAGGGAGAGGTGTTAGAAAAAGAAGGATTCGACCGCAGCGTTCAAAGCTCAGCATGCAAAGCGGTTCCCAAGGCAACATAGTTTGGGAATTTGTAATGGAGACGCTTGCCCTGACACCAAGTCCCCATCCCAGCTCCCTGTCCCCTCTGCGCCCCGTGGACAGCGATGTGGGTCCCCAGGGGACCAGGTCAGTGTCCCCTCAGTGTCCCCAAAAGTGGGAGACCGGCTGGGAAGCTTCGTGCAGCCTTCTTGTACGCTACGTGTGCCACAGGTAACCATGGATGGGGCCAGATCTAACCACTGGCTTAGCATAAACTCCAGATAATATAATTAAACCTCACAATTAAAACTAACTTGTTCATTCTAGGCTCTGTTTTACTTTTCTCCTAAAGAATGATGACTTCTTGATGGCTGTTACCCGTTAAGTCCAATCTATTTGTGGTTAAATGCAACTTCTGCAGCCCTTTCAGGACACTTTACTAATCAAGATTTGCTGCACTCTCGCTGCTTAAAAATTCAATAGTTTGACCTATATTGAGATTCTTTGTGATAAACAGTAGCAAACTGCACCCTGTTTGAGATAACTTATTGCGGTTTGTGCCAATTTAATTGGACAGATCAAATTTCATCACAATCTTCATTACTGGCAATTCAAAGAGGCCCTATTTAACTCAACATCCAATGGGGGTATAAGAAGTTTAATAAAATTTATTCTTAACTGGATTGAGTAAAACCATTATTTGTGTTTCATCAGCAAGAAACAGGTGGTAGTGGTCAGCTCACCGAGAAAAGCAAATAATTCAACAAACTGCAACCCATCTCTGCAGCTATAGGAGGGCCTATTGCTTGGTTCCCTTTGCTTCCAGGTGCTTAAGCCAGTAACTTTTGCCTGGGACTGGCAGGCTGCACTTCCTTTTGCTCCCTAAGCAAAGGCATTTAACAGCTTGTTTCAAGTAAATCATAATAAAATTACAGAAGGGTATTTAAAACTTCAAGTTTAAATAATCTACAGTTGGATTTTGCTGTTAAAACATACTATTTTTCTCCAACAGAGACAAATATGCCAGTGTGATGAAAAAAGTAGCCAACTGTCAAAGCATTCAGAACACGAAATCAAGTTTCCTTGACTGAGTCATTGCAAATTCGGCTCCTCCAGTTGTTTTCACCATGAATAAAAGCAACTCCCCAACCTTTATGGCTCAACAACAGCCGGACAGTTCACAATTCCTGCCCTCTCCTGCACCCCTGTTCCCCTCTCTCCCTCCCAGCCTTTCCCGCACATTCACATCCTCCTTCCTTCCCTCCCACAGTTACTTTTGGCACAGAGGACCCCAACAGCTGGGATGAAAAGTGAATCTGAGTGAAAAAAGGGTGAAGCAAAGTCGAATTCCAATTTACAGTGGCCATCACTTGCACTGAGGGCTGTGCGGGAGACAAGGGCTGTTCCCTTACACCCAGGACTTCCTATCCCTGGGAAAACACCCACGGGGTGATGCCTTCGTAGCTGTGGCCTCGCTGCACGCATCCTTGCCACAAACCCAGTGTTCCTAGAGCAGCTGCCGGGTGTTTGCAGCGCTCGGCCATGCAGGAGCAACCTGAGGGCTCCCGCTCTCCGTGACTGGGGACAGAGACGCTGAGGGGACGGTCCCCAGAGCGACTCGCTGGGTTAGAGAGCACGCGGTGCAGAGGTGCCCTGGAAGGACAGGCACGCTCACAAGTCACCGTGAGAACGTGCAAAAGATGGGTTTTCCCTAAAACAGGGGCCAGCCACCCACGGGAAGTGCCTCCTGAAAGAAAAGTGGGAGCTAACAGTCGAAATCACTGTCCTACCACAGCGATCTCAATCTCTCTGGAGAGTCCCTCAAACTCTCAGAGTCTTCTCAAACTCTCTGGAGAAAAGGAAGGAGGGATGGGGAGGATGACAAGAGTTAGAGGTACAAAGGATTACACTTTAAGAACATTCAGAAGGTCTTTAGTGCCTTGGGAGGACAAAACCAGCACATACGATCCTCCTGGCAACACAAAGACAACTAAATGTTATCAACTGGGGCCCCCAAGGAGATTTTATCTGACTCTTCCCACTTGATCTTTGGGAGCAAGAGGTCCCAGAAAACACGGTCTGCCCAGCCCGATCCTTTCACTCGCTCCTACCTGCTGAGCTCGCAGCAGAGCGGTCCTCCTGTACATGTAATCCTCCGATTTGATCACGTACACCATCTTATAGGAGTTCAGTTTGAATTTACACTCCAGCTTGTCCAAGCTCTCCACGTTCTCCATGGACTTCTTACTGTTTCCCTCCTTCCCTTCCTTCTCCTGCTGCTCCCGACCACGCTGACACTTACGGATCCTCCTCAGATTCCTGCAAACCAGAGAACCCCTCTTGGAATTAGTGCTCTAGGATGGGCTAGGATGGGTGTTGCTGGTGGAGCTGCGCTGACCCTTCGCCAACCTGACATACAACTTGGAGCACAACTGCCACCGATTGAAGTCATGCATAGGTAGGGGCTCCGACCCCTACCCGTCAGCCCACATGGTTAACTATTTCTGAGTGACAGCTACATGCAACCAGCTCCCTGCTCGGGAAAAGTCCCGGCTTGGCACCCGGAGGTTACCCGTAAGCCGAGGCAGGACTGCCAGAAAACATCTGGCGAGTCAAGAGCCCTCACCCTGCCTGCCAGCTGCGGGCCATGCCATCTCCCAGTCACTGGAGAGCAGGAGCCCGGGGTGGACCCACAGGCTGTTGGGATAAACAGCAGCACGGTACTCGTGTGCCACACTGCCAGGGTAACGGCTTCGGTAGTGGCATCGAAATACAGGAGAGACTAAACACCCAACACTGTGAAGGAGCACAACTGCTCTGCCCTCTAAGGCCAAACACCGTCCGTGCGGCCGGGCTGCCACCCACCTCGGCAGGAAGACCGGTTTCTGGGCCAGGTGCTCGCGGAGCTCCGGGGAGGTAGAATCGGAGTTGACGTACCGCTCCACGTAGTCCGACCAGCGCTGCAAGGGAGCACACCACACTCGTTAGCTTTCCCACCAAACAAGAAACGATGCTTAAGGAGCGTAAGATAGACGTTATACGATGAATACAAGGTCACCTTTGAAGACTTCATGCATTTTGTTTGCCCAAAAGCAAGTGCAACGTATCACTGTGGTTTGGGGGAGCTTTCTAACATCGGAGAAAACAAGCAGGATTTGGCTACTCACATCACTGATGGCTTTGGGTTGTGCTGCTGAAGTTTCTTTTTCTTGAGCTAACACTCTGGGCCACAACAACAGCCAACTGGACATCCTGGTCCAGCGCACCCTTTACAATCAGTCAGCTCTCTGGGCAAGCTGCTCTTACCTCTGCTTCTACTGGGTCATCGGAGTTCTCCTCTTCTGTGTCCAGCA